ACTGTTTTCCGCAGCAGCTGCACCATTTCACATTCTCACCAGTAAGTAATACACAAGGGTGCAGTGTCTCCACATCCTTGCCAACATTTGTTATTTTCTGTTTTTTTGATAATAGCTAACCTATTGGGTACGAAGTGGTCTCTCATTGTAGTTTGATTTGTATTTCCCTAATGATTAGTGATGCTGAACATTTTTTTCCATGTGACCATGGAGAGATGTCTATTCAAGTCTTTTGCCCATTGAAAAAACATTTTTTGTCACTAATTTAGAGGAGTTCTTCAAAAGTCTGGATATTAATCCCTTATCAGACATATCATTTGCAAATATTTTCTCCCATTCTGTGAGTTGCCTTTTCACTCTGTTGATAGTGTTCTTTGATGCACCAAAGTCTTAAATTTTGATGAAGTTCAATTTACTTAGTTTTTTCTCTTCTTGCCTGTGCTTTTGGTGTTATATCCAATAAACACTTTTTATATATATATAGTGGCAGAATTATTCCAGGAGAAAAAGCATTCAAATTACTTGGTGAGGGAGAAAAAAAAACAAAAATAAACAAACAAAAGTCTCTGATGCTCTGATGTTGGAGAAACTGACCTAATGCTCATTGTGAAGCCTCAGTGTTATTTGAAACTAATCTGACACAACTCAAAGCATATTGTCCTCCTGTTGGACATAAACAATCTCACAGAACATTGACATCAGACAAGGTCACTGTGCCACAGAAAATACCAAAGATTTCTCTCTCATTAAATGAGTGAATGCTACTTTACCAATTTTAGCTTTAGCCCCACTTTAGTCTGCCTTCTTTATAGTTAAGATGTATTAGATGCCCAATCATAGACTTGCCCAACTTCCTAATGGCACCCAAGATAGAGTGAACCTTTCCTTCTGTAGACCCTCCCCAAAATTACCCAACCAAAGAATCCTATAATAGGTTCTTTCTAATACTCTTTTACTGCGCAGCTAAATGACTCCCTGCTCTGTGCATTTTTGCTAGCTGCAACAAGTAATAAACCTCAACTACAGGCTTCTTGTGATTTTTGGCTGAAGGGCATTGACATTTGCTAGGAGGAAATTAAGAGCCACCCTTCGTTAACCACTTGTTAGCTCTTGTAAAAGATGCTTCTTCATGATTTAAATCATTAGCTACAATACAATTTTATGACTGTGGACTTAAATTATTACCTTGATTTTGTTCTCAGGTTTGATTTATACATAAATATATATTTTATGAATGCCCTAGACTGCAAGTAAGGAAAAAAGTTGCTAACAGTGACTAAAATGTTTCCTTTCCTTATATAAACAAGATTCCAGAGAAAGGCAAGCTTCAGGTATTTGTTTCTTAGGCCAGTCTCCTTACAATTCCACAAACGTGAGAAGGAGACAAACACATTCCAGCAGTGAACTAACTGTCCTGACACTATCATTTAGGCCTTATTGTTGCCAGGAGCTGGTCTGGCCCTCATAGCTCAGCCTTCATATTCTGTTGAACAATTACACAGAACACCAACATAAGACAAGGCCAATGTCTGGCTATGATGGATCAAGACAAAAACAAGACCATTACATAATCATATCAGAACTGAGAACAAATAAGAACATAGTCCAAATCACAAAAAAATGACCAAACATCTACGTATCCTGGCTATTATGAGTGACTGCTCCCTCTTTGTCAAGCACAGCTTTAACTTCATTCTTCCTGCCCTATGGATAAAGTTTATTAAGATACCCAATAATAGAATTATTCCTGCTTCCTCACAGCATCCAGTCCAGAGAAAAGCTCCATTAAGCCTTGCCAAAATCACTTAACACAGGGATGAATACTATAAGTTCTTTTTAACACCTTTTAAATTTGACACCCCTTGGGATGTGTGTTCTGCTTCACTGCAACTGTCAGTAATCCCAACTTTAACTATAGGTCTTTGACCGAAGGGCATTGGTACAGGTTATGCCCAGTTTCATCCCTATGTTTTTTCTGACGTTTTTTCTGAAACTCTTTCTACTCTGTGCATTAAGAACACCTCAGTCTTCAAATTTGTTATCAGTTGATCTGGTTCCAAACAACCTAAACCAGTGCAACTCAAAGTGTGCTCTGCCATTAGCAGTTGCTTAGGGTGTTGGGGTGGGGGATAGGAAGTGATTGCTGTTGGTTACCCAGTTTCTTTTTGGACTTACGAAACTATTTTAAAATAAATTGTGGTGGTGCTACACAACCCTAAATTAAGAAAAGTATTGAATTGTACACTAAATGGGTAAATTGCATACTGTGTAAATTATTTCTCAATAAAGTTATTAAAAACAAAAGTGTGGCCCAAAGACTGGCCTCACCATGACACAGGGGCAGAAACTGAGAGTAAGGATTTATTTTGTAGCCACTTGACAGTTATTTCATATATGCTGAATATAGTAAGAAACAAAAATCCACATGTGTTTTTTCCATGTTTACCATTTCAAATTTCATTTTCTAAATAATAATATTTTATTATATATTATAAAAAAATCTGTCTTTCATGGACTGGGGTAAAACCTTAACTTGGATTGAGGAACACTGACCTAAAGGACCCATAACTTCTATAGTTTAAGATGTGTCGTCCCAGTCTCTCAATGTGGAACTACAATGACCAGAATTCCTCGTGAATGCGTAAGCGACGTCCATTCCATTGGCCTCGCCGCTACGTCCTCTGGGGCATGTAGTACGTGCCTTCCGCTGAGCACGCTGCGATGTCCCGGCATTTTTTCCTGGTTTGGGGACTGGCACCGTCAGAGGAGAGGTGATGTCTCTCGAGGAAAACTATGTGATATGGGAGGACGTGGGCGGGAATGACACAATCAAGCCTGTTGCGTTTCTTGTTGGGGACCAGGAATAGCCTTGGCTTCTAAGCCATTGTAAGCAGCCTTCCCCGGGATCCTCCAGAAAAGTTGGAGGTTGTTAAGGGAAGAACTTAACCTGCAAGTCAGGGCTGGGTAGCTACGGCAGGTTTTCTTCCACCCAGCATGTTTTCGGGCCCGAGATGCAGGGTTCGGCTGAGAACAGAGGCCTCCTTCCGGTATTGGATTTTCCAGTGCTCAGAGGAGGGCAGGGGGGAGCCCACTCCTAGGCGGGGATGCGGAAGATCACTTTCTTTCGTTCTGTGTTACTGTGAGCCCGGCGTGGAGGATGCTTGTCATTTGCACAGGCCCCTACACTCATCGTCTTAAGGCCCCTCCTTTTGTTAAGTGACTTCCCAAGGTCATTTATCTGGGAGCAGAGCTGGGGACTTGACACCTTTATATTCTAATCATTGAGCTGCTTCCATTTTCAGTTGTGGGTAGGCAGGAGAATCTTGAAGATACCTTTGCTCTGTACAGGGTTATTTGTGTATGTGTATGACCCAGGTTGGCGTGGGCCAGGATGCTGTACTGATGATCATAAAATATCAATTCTATCTTGTTTTTGTTTTTTCTTGTGAACAGACAGCATAGCCATAGACAAGACTCTGAGGCAATCTTTTAGTATTTGTTTGTTGACGTAAGGAGGTGTTCCAAGTTGAAAGAATTCAAAGAACAGAGTGATTGTCTCAGCTTCACAAGTTAGAGTAGATTTTTAACCTTTTTGCAAATAGCTTTCCTTATCTGTAAAATGCAAATGATATCTACCTGACAGGTTAATTGAGAAAATTTAATAGGATGATATATTTTAAAAGTCCTTTATGAAATGTTGCAGAAATGTTAAATGCTATGATTTTAGTCCCAGATTTTCTAAATGTTCTTTCTCAATTAGAAATATAAACATTTACAGTATATTTCTAAAACAAATTATCCTTTTTCATAATTATCTTTGGTTCTTATATTGCTTCACTATGTCTTGATACATTACTTGATTTCTTATTTCTTGATTGGAGCTTTAATCATCTTGCTTTTTGGTTCAAACTGATCTGAGGTCAGTAGGGACCAAACCCTTTGAGTTCTTTTAGGGTTCTAGAGAAAAGGAGCAATTATCCTGAAAGTAAATATACCAGAGACTATCCTTCCAAAAAATGAAAAAAATTTTTTTTGTAGTTCTGGGTGCGCCTAGATGGCTCAGTCGGTTCAGTGTCAGACTTCAGCTCAAGTCACCATCTCTTGGATGGTGAGTTCTAGCCCTGCGTCAGGCTCACTGTTGTCAGTGCAGAGCCGGCTTCAGATTCAGATCTTCTGTCGGCTCCCCCACCCACATTGCCCCTCCCTTGCTCATACTCTTTCTCTCTCAAAGATGAATAAACATTTAAAATAAATAAATAAAATAAAATTTTATAACTCTGAATTAATGGCTGTTCCTTGTAAAAATATTGAAGGTGACATATTTATTCCAAACAGTTTGAGCCATTTATTTATTTATTTATTTTTAAATGTTTATTTATTTTTAGAGGGGTGAAGGGGCAGAGAGAGAGGGAGACTGGATCTAAAGCAGGCTCTGCGCTGACAGTGTGAGACTCACCCACAAACCCTGAGATCATGACCTGAAGCCAAAGTTGACCACTCAACCAACTGGGCCACCCAGGCACCCTGCATCTTTTGGTTTAAAAAGATGGTTCTGAGTGTAGGATTTTTTTTCCCCTTCTGCTTCTGTCTTCAAATTTGAAAACTATATATATGTAAAATTTAACAAACATTTCATAAATTGAGTGCAGAAAGAAGCCCCTTTTCCCGGACACTTAATTTTGGACCAAATCCTGTTGTTTGCTTCAGACTAGGAACAAAGTCTTAACTAGAGTTAATGCAGAAAAAGCTTGTAACTTTAATTTAAATTTTGGAACTAATTTGGTATTAATCCATGTCAAACCAATCCTTTTACAGAAGCTGCATTTTGGAATGGGATTTGGAGTTACCATAATGGAAGCAAAATACATGAAGGAGAAATAGTTACCTTTTTACCAGGATATTACACCTGACTACTTGTTGCAAATAGTTTTCCTACCTAAGAAAATTTGTGACATAAATGAAAAAATACCTTTTTAAAAAAAGACTTATTGTTTGTAAATATGCTTCGCCTAAGAGCTGTTTGTCCATTTTCCTGGAGAGCATTTCAGTTTCGATCCTGCAGTTGTAAACCACTAATTACCGAAATGATTAAGTGTACAGATGAAGGGCAAATCTTTGATCTTATTCAAAAAAGCAAAGCCATACTTTCAGAAAAGCAGGTGGAATGTGCATTTAATATACTTTGGCAGTTTCAAAAGCAGAAGACCAGCTTTTTAAAAAATGTTGAGTGTGTCAGAGACCATCCCCAGTTTATTACTCTTCATAATTTAGCTACAAGTCAAACGGAATTCATGAATGATGATACCCTGGTGAATGTGTTGTACCTCACACAACAGTAAGTAATGTACTTTTACTTTTTATAGAAATGATTATAGTTTATAATTATATATCAGTTTTCTAAAAATCTCTTTAAAATGAAAAACAATGTGGTTTTTTTTTCCCCTATAAATAGTATTCCTGATCATTGAATATTTTTAAGATGTTTAGAGGATATTCTTTGTGGTAATCATTTAACAATATATATGTATATCAAACATCCTGTTGTGCAACCTAAATATATACAATTTTTACTTGTTAGTCATAGCTCAATAAAGCTGGGAAAACATTAAAAAAGAAAAGAAATTTTACATTATTTGCAAGGGAATCCAGCCTTCAAAAGAACTGGATTTTCTAAGTAAAATATTCAGCAGGTATATAAGGGAAACACACACACACACACACACACACACACACGGAAGTTGCAATTAGTCTGTTTCTTAGTCTCATTCATGGAAAAATAAGTTTTCTCACTTGATTGGCTAACCTGTGAGGACTATCAGTAACTATAGATGTCAGCATTGCACAAAGCAGAGATACAGTTGTTTTTATTAGGAAGTCAGCTTATACAGGAAAGGGGCTTAGGGCTTTACCTATTTGGGGGAGTGGTATTAAACTAAAAGAAGAGTGCCTTCCCTTTTTTGGTGGTCTTTCTGTGGTTGCAAAGTTTTTTCTCTGAGGTATATGAAGAGAGTATGTAATAATGGGCAAGATACCTGTTTTGCTTTCTCAGTGGTCATGTCAGCTTGGAAAACGATGAATAAAATAAAATTCAACAAGTCTTTATTGCAGGACTCTTCAGAAGCTTTAATATGTTAATGTATACTGTAAATCTCTGAGTGAGGGCAGTTTCCAGACTACAAAACATTGTGTTAAACACCTCACAAGACTCATGTGTGTTAGGCAGATGGAGGAATGCTGCTTGGTGATGATTTACCTAAAAACTATATTTCTGTGTTTTGCTCCTAAGTCATATTTTAATTATGAAAGGATTCAAGAGTAAAATATAATTTTGTTTTCAGGTTTTAAAAGCAATATGTAGTTCAATTTTGCTTCATGACTCAATGTGAAAGTTTCTGATTTTTGGGAGACAAACTAATAGAGGCTTAATGCTATAAAGATATTGAAATTGGTTAAAAAGGTATTTTTATACCTACAATATATAGTGTATGTGGTTTAGTTATATAGATAGTATTCATGGTTAATGAAGCTATACTGGAGGAGGAACTCTTATATGTTCTGATGATACAATGTATATCAAGAACTATAAAGATACCCTTGGATCCAATAATTTTGCTTCTAAAGTTTATCTCTAAGAAAATAATCTGGGATATGAATGGATAAAGAAGATGTGGTAAATATGTATACAATGGAGTATTACTCAGCAATCAAAAAGAATGAAATCTTGCCATTTGCAACTACATGGATGGAACTAGAGGGTATTAAGCTAAGCAAAATTAGTCAGAGAAAGACGAATACCATATGAGTTCATTCACATGTGGAATTTAATATACAAAACAGATGAATGTAAGGGAAAGGAAGCAAAAATAATATAAAAACAAGGAAGGGACAAAACATAAGAGACTCTTAAATACAGAGAGCAAATTGAGGGTCGCTGGAAGAGTTTGGGGGTGCAGGGGTGGGTTAAATGGGTAAGGGGCATTAGGAAAGACACTTGTTGGGATGAGCACTGGGTATTATACAGAGGGAATGAATCAGTGGAATCTACTCCTGAAATCATTATTGCATTATATACAAACTAACTTGGGTGTAAATAAATAAATAAATAAATAAAATGCAAAAAAAAAAAAAAAAGAATAATCTGGGGTACATATTTAAGATTATTGTGCGTTGATATTCATGCCAGCATTATTTATAATATTGAAAAACTAAAATTCTAATAGTAGGTGAATGTTTAAATGATACTATATTCATTTAATGGAATAATATACAATGTTTAAAAATTGTTTTGAACACTATGTAGTGTCATGGGCAAATGCTGAAAAGGGCAGGGTACAAAAGTGTAAAAGTGAGGTGCCTGGCTGGCTCAGTCAGTGGAGCATGTGACTCTTGATCTTGGGGTTGTGAGTTTGAGCCTCACATTGCATGTAGAGATTACTTAAAAATAAAATCTTTTAACAAAATTAAAAAAAAAAACTGTAAAAGGAATATGTATATTCCGTATGTGTGTAGAAAAGACAAATGGAGCAAAAATGCTACAGATTAATGATGGCTGTTTATGAGTACAGACCTATAAATAAGTTTTAGTACCCTATTCAAGTTTTTCTTTATTTTACAAAACTCTCCTATAAAAATATTTTTCTAATCAGAGAAAAGTAATATATGTTATGTGTACTTTTAAAATAATATGTATTGTTGAATGTTCTCATTGTTCAGTGGAAGGCATTGAACAGATAAAAGAATGAGAGAGGCATGGGATAAAATGTAGATGTTTATTATACCGTATCAAGAAATCAAAATACTGAAATGGGAATGCACCAGAAATAAAGACTGTGTAAGAGTATAATAACTTGAGGTTCACTTTTGCATTATAATTGTTAACTTGCATGATTGTTTTTAATACTTTAAAAATGTTTATGTATGGAAAATTATTTTCTCTTGATTTTATTGAGGTGTGCTACTGAGACCCATGACCTACTGGTTGAAGCTCTAGTTACAGAAGCATGGAGAAGACTGGAAAGGCAAGTACTTTGGGTTCATTTTCTAAGATCACAGTTATCCTATGCAAGGTTAACTGAGTGAAATTTTGTAGAGAAAGAATAGGGAGCTGCTGCCTACCTATCAACCTTCACTAAAAAAAAAAAAAAAAAAAAAAAAAAAAAAAAAAAATTAGTTGAGGGTATTTTGATTGTGTAAAGGAAAAGAATGAGGAATGTGTATTTTCCTTAAGAGACAAAGAAAGCTTGAATATTTGCTCTTTATTTATTAAAAAAAATAAAAAATTTAATGTTTATTTAAATGTTTAATTTATTTTTTTATGTTTATTTATTTTTAATGTTTATTTATTTTTGAGAGAGAGAGAGAGAAAAGAGTGCAAGTAGGGGAGAGGCAGAGAGAGAGAATCTGAAGCAGGCTCCAAGCTCCCAGCTGTCAGCACAGAGCCGGACATGGGACTTGAACCCACGAACCATGAGATCATGACCTGAGCTGAAGTCAGACGTTTAACCGACTGAACCACCCAGGCGCCCCTAAAAAATTTTTTTTAATATTTATTTATTTTTTGGGAGACAGAGACAGAGTGAGCAGGGGAAGGGTAGAGAGAGAAAGAGACGTAGAATCTGAAGCAGGCTCCAGGCTCCAAGCTGCCAGCACGGAGCCCGATGCAGGGCTCGACCTCACAAATTGCAACATCATGACCTGAGCTGAAGTTGGATGCTTAACTGACTGAGGCACCAATATTTGCTCTTTAAATTAAGAGTGGAAACAGTGTGCTTTGCCACATATATAATTAGTCAAAATATAAGTAAGGTGGAGCAACAGCTATTTGGCTTTTTGAATCTTCTTTTCTGGAAGATTTTGCTTCAGAAAGAAAAGATTTGGAGCCCTGACTGGTTCAGTGGTAGGGTATGCAACTCTTGATCTTGGAATTGTGAGTTTGAGCCTATATTAGGGGTAGAATTTATTTTAAAAACTTAAGAAAAAAAGAAAGGAAAGATTCTCTGAGTGATAGTCTGCCTATAAAAACCTAGAAATTCAGCCGTAAAAGGAGAGAAAAGAAGACACCAGTTTAGTAGAAAGGAAAACTATTTAACATTGTTTAGCAGCATTTGTAGGTACTTGCCTATCACTTCTTTATTGAGAGACAATGAACATCACTCATAGGTGACTTAGATGCTTTCAAGTTCACTGCTGTGACTATGATTGATTCAGATCTCTTTCCTCTACTATACAGAGCTTTATTTGTAGCATGTTGCCATAATCAGCAGTCATCTAGAAAAATGTAAAATTTGTTCAGGGCATTCTTCTTATGAGTACAGTGAAGTCTATTCTATACAAAACCATGCTATTTATGCTATATGAGAATATGTGAGAAACTCCATTTATAAAAGAGTTGAGATAATAACAGACCTCATTTTGGAAAATTGTTAGCTATTTCTGAAAATTTTGAACTTTTTAATGTAGGGATCACCATAGCCTAGGTCTCTTATTAGTGGAGTAAACAAATGTTAGTGAATAAAGGGAAAATCAAAGTGGGAAAGAGAAAGGAGGATTTAAAAACTACAGAACGGAGAGGTGGTTCAAGATGGTGACATAGATATCCTACTCACTCTACCAAAGACACACCAAATCTACAACTACATATAGAACGTCTGTCTCTGAAAAAGACCTGGAGACTAGCTGAACAACTCCACAACAAAGATGGCAGGGCCACATTGAGACCGGTGGGAGAGGCAGAGATTGGTTTCACCAGGAACCCCACTCCTGACTCAGTGACCCACAAAAGGGAGGGATCTAACAAATATGGAGCATATTCCTGAGGAGTGAGGGGTTTGAGCCCCACATCAGGAACCCCAATTCTTGGGACCTGTACCAGAGAGATGAGCTCCCAGATGTCTGTCTTTGAAAACCAATGGGGTTTACATCAAGGAGACCCAAGGGTTATAGGAAACTGGAACTCACCCTTAAAAGTGCTCACACGCAGACTTACTTGTCCTGGCACCCAGCACAAAAATGGCAGGTTGGAAGTGCCTAGGCCATATGTGAAGGAGATTCACTGGGTAAGCTTAAAGTGCCTGCCAGAGGGACAGAGGTCTATTGGAGCTCTCTCTCTGGCTAAAGGCACTGGTGCACACCATTTTTGCAGTCTATCTTGCTAGCACCAGCACTAGCTGGTGCCATTTTAGCACGCCTTCAGCCTTGTGAAAGTTGTTTGCTCTGCATCTGTGTTCTTCTGTGGCTCTGTCCCACCAAACCTGTTGGGCCAGCTTGCCCTGACCTTTGCTCCCCACAAACCCACAGTGCTAAAATTGGTAGGCAGGCAGCCTTGCCTTGGCCTGGTGCTCTTCCTTGGCCCCAGCAAAGCTGACAGGTGTGTGCAGTCCATAGAGGGAGTGCTTTGAACACCTGCCTCTTGTGGCCAGGGGTGTTTGCGTTTCTGGGACCCATGGAACTGAAATAATTACAGAGTTCTTGGCAGGCTAAACCCCCCAGAGCAATTTACAGATAGCAGACAAATACCCCAGTCTTCCTGTGACCGCTCCTTCAAGACTGAAGAGATAGCTCTTTTGCCTAATACATAGGAACAAGCACTGAAAGTTAAGGAAATACTAGGAAACAAAAGAATATGTTCCAAATGAGAGAAGAAGATAAAACTCCTGAAAAAACCTTAACGAAACAGAGATAAGGTCATGCCTGGGTGGCTAAGTCAGTTAAGTACCCGACTTTGGCTCAGGTCATGATCTCACAGTTTGGTTCATGAGTTCATGCCCTGCATCGGGGTCTGTACTGATAGCTTGGAGCCTGGAGCCTGCTTTGGATTCTGTGTCTCACTCTGTCTCTGCTTCTCCCCTGCTTGTACTCTGTCTCTGTCTCTCTGTCTCAAAAATAAATAAACGTTTAAAAAAAACCACACACAAGAAACAGGGATAAGTAACTTACCTGATAGAGACTTCAAAGTAATGGTCATAAAGATGCTCACTGATCTCAGAAGAATGGATGAACACAGAACTTCAGCCAAGAGATGGAGAATATAAGAATGTACATGGAACTGAAGAATATAACTGAAAGATATACTACAGGAATTCAACAGCAGAGTAGATGAAGCAGAAGAAAAGATTAGTGACTTGGACCAGGGCAATAGAACTCACTCAAACAGAGCAGCAAGAAAAAAAAAAAAAAGATAATTTG